CCAAGTTTAAGTAATTTCAGATTAGGCTTTAGCCTCTAGCCCTAAAGACATGCTAAGAAACACAGTGGTTCTCTTTGTAAACTAAGGAGGAAGGGTTCCCTCAGGAATCCTAGGGAATACTGCTGGCTGGACAGTTTCCTCAGGCAAGAGGTCCCTGAGAGAGACATTGTAACTGAGCAGGAGTTTCTAAACTCAGTCAGTGAACATGGTTGTCCTGGAGTGGGAGAATCTTATGAAATCCTTTGAAACTTTCGATGTCCGTTTATCCATTTCTCTGGGAAGAGAATTCATAATCTACACCCAGTTCTTAGAGGAATCTTGATTTCAGTAGGTCATGAAGCCACACTTATCACTGAGAACAGGCATCCTATATGTCATGTTGCCCTATCAAATCATGCTCACATCTGAATTTTCTTTGGTCCAACTGATGAATGATTAAATACAATCAAACCCGTGAAAGCCGGAACCTGTGTAAGGCAGGAACCTGTGTAAGGCAGAAACCTGTCAGGGAAAAGTCAAATATTTTCCATTCTTTGACAGTGATAGAAAAGTGGTATGACTGCGCTCTGTCAACAGCAGAAGCCTCAAGAGACCAGGGAAAACAAGGTGGTCCTGGCAAGTTCCAGCTCTGTCAGGTGTCACTGAATATTTGCATAGAAATTTCACTAATGTATAATTTTTTTTTTTTTTAACAGACAAGGGGTTCATAAATGGCTCCAAGTCGAGTGAAGATTATGTCATCGACCAGTATGAAGAGTTCTGTTTTTCTGTTCGTGTAAAAGCATACCCACAGATCAAGTGTACTTGGATCTTTTCTCAGAAATCCTTTCCGTGTGAACAGCGTGGCCTCCAGGATGGATACAGGTGGGACAGCAACGGCTCTGAAAGACTTCCTCTCCTTTGTAGCATGACTCCCCTAAGACTCCCCGGCTGCGTTACCCTGGGGAGGACTAGTTTTGTACTTAAGGAAATGAAATAATCTGTGATGACTTTATAGATGGAGTTAAGGAGCCTGTCGGCACAGTGGTTAAAGCACTCAGAAGCAAACCTAATGGTGGTTTGAACCCACCAGCCACTCTGCTGGAGAAAGT